GCATGAAGACTCTTACTCTATTCTTCCAATCATTATAATTTGTACCATCAAAGAAAGGGGACTTGGTAGTAGACAAACCTTCCATGATATGGTAAAGTTGAAGATGAGCCATCCCGGTCACTCTAAGGTTGTTAACCTTTCTTGACTTGAGCCCTTGCTTTGATATCAATTGTTGGCTCAAACACTCCAAAAGGAAGGGTGAATTGGAGTCTTCAAATTTTTCTTCTTTTTGCAACCACCAAATGAAAAACAAAGAGAGTATAGAAGAAAAGATTGCATAAGTGATTTTATAGTAGTTCAGCCAAACCACTTGGCACATAACCCTCTATCTTGGTTTCACTCACTAAGAATTTCCTTCACACTCTCCACTAGTGAAAGCTTGGGAAGTCTGCTTTCATATAAACTAACTCTCAAACAAAAACTTTCATTGTAGGCATATATCTTTTTGAATAAATGAGTGAAGTTCATTTTTCCAATTCATGAAAAGTTGATTTCATGTAAGCTTTGTCTCTAAAATTCTTTCCTTTGGTCCTACACACTAGCACAAAACTCATTAAACTTTTCCAATGATTTTGTTATCATCAAAATCATCAAGGGAGTTCAACAACCTCACTATCGTCCTTCTTGATTGCAATAATACACTTTGTCAACTAACATGTGTATCCCTTGTTTTAACATTTAATCCATACAAATTAATATTATTATTTAATATCCTTATTATATTATTGTAAGAATTTAACTTACATTTTTTAAAATTTAAGATTATATTCTAGTGAAATACAACATATATTCTAGTAAAATAACCTTTTTTAATCCCTTTACTTTGGAATTTTCACCATTTAATACACCAGATATGCAACAAGTTAATAGACGAACTAAAAAGAGGCCAAAAATTTAACTTTAGGAACTAAATAAGGCTTTCTTAAGGAGAGTGACTAAAAAAGAAACCTTTTAGTAAAGTAGAGGGACCACAATATGGTTTTAACCTAATAATTTTAAGAAACTTTTTCCTACTCTATGATAAAATTTTTTCAAATAAAATTGTTCCTTCAAACCTAATTTATTTAATTTAAAATGTAATTAATTTTTAGATTAAATTAAAAAAATGGTCATACACAAATATATAAAGTAAAAAAAATAATTGCTAAGAAAATAGCCTCAAAAGAATAAAAACCAAAAAGAAAATTTCCATACAAATGGAAAAAGATATAAATTAAATAAAATGTATTTACAAAATATACAAAAATTTTACAAAAATTACACCAATTGTTATTGCTCAACTTAAAACTTGTACCTACCAAAAATATCTTTAAAGATCAAAATAATTACAAAATTGATATAAAGTCAAACTCAATTTTAGAGATAGAGAAGAGAGAAGAAGGAAGAGGGTAGAGTTGACTGTATCCTCCTCATATTACTTAAGATATGAAAAGGCTCTAATATTCTATTTGTAATTTAATCATTGGTTTCGGGACAGTGGAGTCAATGTGTATCTAAATTGACCCTTTTTTATCCTTTAAACATAATTAGCATTTCTCAACCTGCTATGCAAGGTGTTTGCAATGTATTGAGTTTTTAAAAAGGAATTGCAAGCTATATTATGTTCTTATATTATAGCAATGCATATACAAAATTTCACTTGATCCTATCAAATTCCATTGTACCTTACACAAAAATTCAAATATGAGAAATTTGCTTGAGCATGTATTTAAGTTGTGGCATAACCCCCAAATTTGCCCCTCAAACAAGGGGAGTAGGAATAGATCCACCTCTCAAAAAAATCCAAAGACAATTGCCCCTCCAAATTATAGATTAAGGACAAATTACCTCTCAAAATTATAAATCAAGACAAATTACCAATTTTTTAACATGTGACATAAGCTTCTGTTAAAAAATTCTTACGGGGCAAACAAGATTCTAACACACCTACAGTTTAAGGCAAAACCCTCAAGCAAATTGCTTGCACCTACAGTTGTGGCTGCAATGGTAGGGTGCATCCAGACCATGGGCACCACCATGGTTCAAATCCTTGAGATGTTATATCCCTTCCCCCAATTTCTCCATGTTCAGCAAAAAAGGAAAAAAGGTGTTTAAATTGCTCCTTCTTGGGAGATACATCTGCATTCTCCATCCTCCAAAAAAATGTTTCCCGAGTCTTTCGTTGAAAGGCTGACATTACCTGGTCATACAAAAGCAACTTAATTAAAAGAACGCTAAATTGGAAAAATTATATGTTCAAAAAAGGCACAGAACAACCAGGTAATACATGCCATAAGGCTAAAATTAAATTCAAAAGGAGAACACATATCAAAATTATAATAGCATTATGTTGACATGGGAAGTTTGCTAAGTTTACATTAAGAAATTTTTAATTGCTGCTTAGATTGAGTATTGACATCAAATAATATGAGACACCATGGTTACTCAAATAATAAATTATACACCACCATTATGAGAAGCAGAATTTAACTAATCCATATGGCAAAAATACATGAATCTCCAACTCTTGAATTCCATCAAAGCATTGGAGACTCTCAGACTGGGAGGGTGAGTTTTTTGCATTTAGAATGTTATTGGACTAGTTGGCTACAGGAACAGAGCCAGGAAATTCGGTTAGGGGGGAAAAAATTATGGTTAAAGATTTGAGTATTTAAAAGTATTTTTATGGCACTAGTTCATTTTTTTTTAAATTCTTTTTTCTCTTACAAAATGATTCATTTGTGGTCTTTTTTATTAATATAGTTTAAAGAAAAATTAGAAATAAATATATTTATATCATAATAAAAAACAAAATATCTCAATAAAAAATTATGCAATGATCAATTGAAGAATAAATGAAGGAGATTAATGTATTTGTTAGCCGAATCTCTAAAAAATTAAAAGAAAAAACACTAAAATTATATTGTTTCGATAAACTTACAATAAAAAAATAAAAACAACATATTCTTAAAGTAGGAATAACAATATTTTGGTTTTATTAAAATAATATAATTTTGAAATATTTTCCTCCTAATTTTTTGAAGGTCAAGTTAATAAGTACTAATATTATAAAAAAAAATACTAGAATACTTTTTTTGAAAGTGAAATTTACCTTAGATTGATTAAACACAAAAAACCAAAAAACATGATTATAAATTTAATCATGAAAGGTAAAAGGTACTTTGATGCAAAAAAATAAAAAAAATTTAAATTATTACAAAGAATATTAAGAAAGAAAATAAAAATAATATTAGACAAAACTATAAATTTAAAGTTATTTAAATAGAAAATTAAAGTCATTTATTGACTGACTAAATGAAAAAATGCATAAGAACCCCAAATTTTTAATTAATTAAATTGACATAAAATTCATTTTATTTGAATCAGTCCTTATTTTTTGAAAACTCTTTATTTAGATTCTAAATATTTTTTTTCTAAATTTGAAATGATCCTTAAAATTCAAATTATAAAAACAAAATATTTGACAAATAAAAGTTGGAGTACCATATTAAATATTTTTCAAAAGTTTAGAAGGGGTGGCTGGCCCCCCTGTCCTTCATTGACTCCATCCCTGGCTGGCCGCGAAGGAAACTTGGTCTACGAGAGGCATTTAAGTGGATGGTGGGGACAAAAGCTACAGTTGGTGCCATATGGAGACTTAAAACCTACGTCATATCTGGCTGAGATGCAAGCTTGCGCGCTAGGTGTGGGTGAAAAGCCGAGAATGGTGGGGTTTATTTTGTGGGTTAACCGGGGTGGTTCAGGTTGCTTTTAGGCACATTGTGCAGGAGCACACTGAAGGAAAACAGTGACAAACTTGGTCTTATGCAAGTTGATTATTATACCATTAGTTTAAAAATACCTGTTGAGACTCACTGATTTAATTATTAAAATATAAAATTTTAAATTTTTTTTATATTTAATTTTAAATTAAAAATAATAATTTTTAATAAATATATAATAGAGCATATTGCACCAGAAGTTGTCTTTATTAGTGTCCCTCAATCAATATATAGGGTGCTCATAATAATCTTATATCTAAGGAAGTTGAATCATCAGCTGAGAATTTGTTCGAAGCAATTCAAGTTATAAATCTTTCCATTGGTTGAAGGATAGGGCGAATGGATGTCATTTCTATTTATTTGAATGCAGTTGCAACCCAAAGGAATGTGCTGAAGCTATTGCGTAGATTACTTGGCTGGATGGTTGATCCGAAGAATATGTACAAGGCATTGCATCAATATTGGATTTTTTATGTATAAGCTTGTCTAAAGGGGGGAGTATCCATCGTAGTCTAAAACTCTAAATCAATAGAGTTTTGGTTGATAAAAAAATTTGTCATAGTGACATCTTAAAAGAAGTTATTTTCCAGCATAAAATATGCCGGAAAATATCGCTATAAAAAAAAAAAACTTTTATGGAAAATATACATTTTCTAGGGCAATTGAGGTACTGGGAAATATATAGATTATTTACCAGCGCCCAGCACTGGAAAATGAAGGTAAATGGCTAACCAATACCGTCTCATTTTCACCGTTAAAATTAGTCTCCAGCACAATGCGCTGGAAAATATGGTAGACCATTATACTGTCGAATTTTTATTTTCAAGCCTATTGTGCTCAAGCCTCAAACATAGACTGGACGATTACACTGTTGAATGTCTAGCTTATGTTCCAGCACAATGCACTGGAAAATATGAAGCTTAGATAATAAAAAAAATTCAATTTAAACAATAAATTCTAATTATGATATATCATATTTCCATATATATCACATAAAAATCTCTTAAAACAATATAGTTTGAATAAATAAAAGTACTTGACATATAATAAACTAATTAAGCAAACTTAAACTAATAAATATTCTCCACATATAACACAATCATATTTAATAAGTTTTACTCTATAAATCCAATAAAATACAAAGCATTACCTAATACTTATATTTTATTAAATTTTTTCAAATAAATACATAAATATACTTCAATGCCATGTAATTCATAAAAAAACCTAAGATATAGAAAAAATTAAATTAGTTTAGTGATATATATATATATATATATATATATGAGAGTTTAAGATGATGGGAAAATAGAATGAATGAAAATTACACTACCAAAAAAATTGAAATGAATAATACCTCCGATTCCAAAATATTTAAAAATTTTAATACCTACAAAAAGAAAAAAAAAAAAGAAGAGAGTTAGTGTAACATCCATGTGAAAATTAGAAAATAATAATAAATTTAAATTAATAATACCTTACCTTCAATTAAGATTAAAGGGCATATAACCATATACCTACAAAAAAAAAAAAAAAAGAATTAGTATATTTTTTAAGTGAATATTAGCAAACATTAAAAAATGTGAGAGAGGAGAAAGAGGAAATGGAGAGACAATGAGAAGGAATGTAGAAGAAAAGGAAAATGAAGAGGGGTTAAATGGAGAGAAGAAAGAGAACAAGAGAAGGAAAGTAGAATAAAAGTAAAAGAAAGAAATGGAGAAAAGGAAAGTAGTAGAAGAGGTAGAGTAGAAAAAGGAGAGTGAATGGCAAAGAAAGAGAGGAAATGAAATACAAGAAAGGAGATAGGAAAAATAATGATGAACAAAGAGAGGGAGTAGTAATATTATATGGACATTGGGCGCCATTTTGAAAATTTTCAGAAAATGAGCTGCAGAGTACAAAACTCTAGAAGAAAAGGCGGCATTTTGGAACATTTCAGGGGGCAATGGTGCACAATACTAACACCGGAAAATAATCTAAATTTTGAAAAATCCCTCACAAAGGCCGAATTTTGAAAATTTTCAGTGGAAATGGTGCACATCTTTTATTTTCCAGCACTAGTAATTAAAAATTTGAGAAATTTTAAGGAAAAAGACATCATTTAAAATTTTTTTTGTTAAAAACAGCATTGTTTCCTTATTTTCCAGCATAATGCCCTGAAAAATATGGCTACCAGATACAAACTTGAAACCACAGGAATGCTTTGCATTTAGTTAAAAATTCTAGCAACAATGAAACCACACATAAGGCAAAATATTCCTGTCTTTTGCAAGCAAAAACGCTAGTACACATTAATATATTCATCATATAAAGCACTATATATACCAATATACACACAAAATGTATATATGGCATCAGGGGAACAATAGAAAATAATTTTACTGGTATGATAGATTCAAATCACAAGGGCGCATAAAGGTTTGGATAAAGAACAAAATGCCAACCTTTTTCTATAAAAATATGCCAAAACACTAAGCAAGTCAGAATGCACCAATAGCTAAACCTTGATTAGAGTAAAAAAGAACAGATTGAAAATTAACTTCTGTTTTTATGCATTAATGCAAATCCAAGTATACGCATGAAAATAAGAAATGACAAGGATACCAAAAAAAAGAAAAAGAAAAAGAAGATAAGCATGCAGCAGTCCATAAATTTTGACTTCTAATGACAGACAAATTCAGAGACAAATGATGCATAGTCTTTCATAAAAATGGCAGTGAAGAAAGTAATTTATGACTTATCTGGTCCAATTTTATTACATCTCCTTTAGAAAAGTAAAGACATGAGGAAAGATCAAAGGGGGAACATTGAAGGGTTCTCCTTATCTTACTCTTTCATTTCCTTATTTTTTATTGCTTTTTTGTACTAAGAATAACTTTAGGTATCAGTATCACAAATTCATTTCTTTTTTCTTCATTATTAACTAGTGAACCAGTGGTACAAATTCAATAACTTCTAAGAATACTTGTTCGTCTCAAGTCAATACCAAAACAACTATGCACTAAAATAAAAGTTACAGATATTCAACAGCTGACAAAACTAACAAAACCAGTGTTAAGACCAAATCCAAGAAGCAGAAACGCCAAAAGTGCTAGAGGACTGAACATAATCACCTGAAAATGGAAGAAGCAGTGACCATTGATCTTATTTGTGTTAGAAATAGCTTGACTGGCGGGGAGGGGAAGGACGACGGCGGCTAAGGCTGCTAAGCCAATAAAAAAATTCAGAACAATTGGGGGAAAAATTCACAAATTGACTAGAATCTCACCGGACAAACCTTTTCCGGTGACCGAACGGTGTGATTTGATCGGAAACAGAGTGTTGTGGCTTGGGGCACGACGGAAATTACGGGAGGTCGGATGGGGAAAAAAGAAGATTGCGAAGGTAGGGGGTTTGTAGGGCCTGAGTTAACTTCTAGCGCACTACGCAGCTCCGCTGGAAGACACAATTTGACAGTTACCCCGTTTTATCGTCGTACTTTGACCGCCATTGTCCATCGTTTAGCGCTGGCAAACAGGGTGACCAAATTCTGTTTTCTCTTTCAAAAATTTAATATGTAATATGTTCATAATTTGACGGCATAATGCACTAGAAAATGGTAAGGCACAAAATTTTTGGCCTCTTGTTATTTGGCGGCTAAATAAATCTGTGGTGCCTTATTGGGCGCTGGAAAGTAAATTCTTTGTTTTTTAGTATTTAACTTTTTAATATTTAAAAGTTATATTAAATTTCAATTAATATATAATTGAGTTATATCATACCTTAAAAATAAACATTTTCTTAATGATAGATTTGAAATTTTAATTAAAAAGAGGTAAATTTCTTTTATTTGTATTAATAAATTATTAATGCTAGAAAATAAATTCTGCACCCACGTTATCAAAACAATTTGGGCATTTGTTAGCAAATGTTATTTTCCAGAGGGCTTAATTAAAAAATTAGTCTATTAACTATCAACTTGATTTCATTTTAGTTTAGAAAGTATGTTTAATTTTTAAGTGGTTTATAAACTTTGGAAAATATTTCATAATGGTCTACCATACAAGATTTTCGTTAGTTTTAACAGAAGAATCAACTTAGAATTAAAATAAAACAGTTCTCAAAGTTTTAAAAAATTGATACTATAGTCCAAATAAAATATAATGAATTAAGGAATACTCAATAGAGATAGATTAGTTAGAATTTATGATGAAATTGAGCAATTAGCTTAATTTAAAGAGAGAAACCTAGCGAACTTAGAAAGAGAAGCTCTAGAAATAAGTACTGAAAGTACAATGAGAGTTAGAACCAAAGTTGTCAATACCGTACTGGTATACGTACCTATTTTGCTATTGAAACGATATATACTAGATACCAAAATATTTCGTGTACTATTTCGATTTTATCGCTATAAATATATATTTTTATAAATTAAATATCAAATTTGAAAATAATAAGAAGAGAAATTAATGTTTAAAAGCATATATTCTTATAAATTAAAAACAAATATAAATTGATCAATTTTATAAAATATTCATAATTTTTTCTCTTTTTTTAAAAAAATATTAAATGCGCATATTTAGATAATTTAACAGATTAACTGATAAAAGGATTAAAAAAAATGCATTTTTCATAGTTAATGGACTAAAAAAAATATATAAAAAGTTAAAGGATGAAAGTTATACAAAACATTAAAGTTGAGGACCAAAAATGAAATTTACTTTTTTTAAATTTGAATTTTGTTTTACCGGTGATTTTCCGTGTATCGGCCAGTACACCAAAATACTGGATGGTATGCCAAAATTGATGAAATTTGACCAAAACAAAATTGAACCATGTACCGTTTCGGACCAATGAAAAAACCGATATGTACCGGCCATACCGATAGGTACGAAACGGTACCGCAACTTGGGTTAGAACTCTTAATTACAAAATAAGAATGTAAAGAGAAAAAATAAATACATTAAGAAATATTATTAATACACTAAGAAATATTATTAATACACTTCTATCTATCAGCATGAGCAATGAACAAATAAATCAAATTGACATATATTTACTCAATATGATAGGAAAAGGTATAATAGATATAGAAGATACAATTATCATAGATAATATTCTAAAAATAGAAACAATTAATGAAAATACCCTAAGAAGAATTAAAGAAATGGGAAAATCCCTTTCTCAAGAATTTGATTCTATTAAAGAAAGAATAAATAATGTAAAAAACTCTAGAAATTTGAAAGAAATAAAAGAAGAAATAAGGTCTATTAAAGACTCAAAGACTCTGATATCTCGAGTAACAGAGATAAAAATCAAAATAGAAGAAATTTTCAAGATATTAAAAGTAATCGCTGAAAAATTTGCAATAAAAGCTTAAAAATGTATAGCAGAATAATTCCATAACTAGAAAATGATATAGATAAAATTTTTTATAAGATCCAAACACAACTCAAGGATCTACAAGATACTATAATATCAGTCTGTAATAGGCGAAATATTGTAGATAGAAAAGAAGCATTTAAAATAATCCAGAAAATTTTCACAAAAAAGCTTAAATCAAAAGGAATAACACTTTTCATGTTAAAAACCCAAGAAGAAAAGTTGAAAGAACTTGAACAAAAATTCTTAAAAGAAGAAAATGTAGAAGAACTAGATAATTTGTGTCGACAGATTACTATAAATACTAAACAATTAGAAAATATGACAATGAATACCCAAAAGGAGGAAATAAAAGAGGAGACTGAAGAAGAAAAGGATGAGACACATCCTAATATAACCCCAACAGAATTTCTAGTGCAACTTAGAGTAGAATTCAGCATAAGCTAAAGCTATAGAAGAAATCTAACACATAAAATAATATATGATAAAAAGAGTAAAAGATTTGGGAATCAATCTAGACTTGAAACGCCACTAAGAATCAAAGAATCAAAGAACCAATAATTAGTACTAATGGTATTTGGCTAAATCTAGATTGTGTTACCGACCTAGAGAAGGTCATTAGTGACTGGGCCCAAGCTACTTGGATAGCCGTAGAAAACAAAAATTGGAATGCCTTACAAACAATTAGATTTATTGAAGTCACCTTTAAAGGGATAGTTTACGATTGGTTTGCTAGTCTAAATGAAGAAGACAGTAATGTTATTATAAGTGGAAATCTTGCTTCAGAAGAAGTTAATGAAAATGAAGCAATTCAAGACATAATAAATAGGTTTGAATAAGCTATTATGAGAGAATTCTTAGGAGAAAATTGGGAAGTAAATCAAGGAAAAAAGGAGGCTAGAATTGGAAGAATAGTAGTGTGGAATTTGCAAAATTTAGAATTATGTAATCTCTGTGAATTAGATTAAAACATTTGTCTATTTCAGCATTACTATTATAAAGCTTCAAATCATGTAATGACTAAAGGCCTCATGGAATTGTTTTTTTGGAAAAATTCCTAATCCTTGGGGAATAAAATTGGCAGAAGCCTATAGAATATATGTAGAAGATAAGAAAGATACTTTAGGGTTAAGGATTTGGTTCCCTAAAACCAAAATTAATGAATGGTGCCTGGAAATCTATAGCCAAAACAAACTAAGAAAAAATATGAAAAAAAGGACTATGTTATCCTAAGAATAGTGATCCAATCAAGCTAGGATGTAGTTACACCAACTACAACAAGAGAAATAAGAAATTTAGAATTAAAAGAAGTAATAAACAAAGGTTTAATAAGAACAAATTTTCTAGACAGAAAAAGAGGTATTTTAAGAACACCAAAACATCAAAAAAGTATAAAAAGAATCCTAAAAAAAAAGCACCCTAAAAAAAAAGCACATGTTGGTTGTATAAAGAAGAAGGGCATTATGCAAATGAATGTCCTAAAATATACAAAAGAGAAAGTACTAAAAACCTAAAAATTTATGAAGAACTAAGTGAAATAGATGCTAGCTCCATAAGTAGCTAAGAAAGTATATATGAAGTGGAAAGGTTATATACCTCCAGTAGTGATGAATCAGAATATTGAAGAAGGAAAAGCTTATTCTGAAGGATATGAAAGACATGGAGAATACAGTTAAATAACTGTATTCGATAAAAGTAAATATAAAATAATTAGACAAAAGAGAATGGACCTTGCTTTAGAAAAAGGATTCAAACCAAATTCCTTTATAAGTAATCCTTTTAAGAGAAAAGATATAGTTTATTATGGAATATCCACTAAAAAATATAGCATTACTATCAAGAATACAACAAGAATAATAAATATACCTTAGATTATCAAGGCAGAAATAGAAAGCAAACTATCAAAAATCAAAGAAGCTGATAGATCAAGGATAGGTTTTATCCATATTGGAGGAATACAAATACTTACTAAAGCTCATTTTATAAAAGGAATAGACACCCCAATAAAATTAGCTTTAATAGATAATAGAATCAATGATAGAAAGGATGCTATCCTTGGATTAGTGCAAGGTAACCTTAGTTACCAGAAACTTACGTTTACAATATATCCAAAATACGCTGTAAATATTAATGATAGAAGTATTAATAAAACCTTAAGTTTAGCACATGAATTTGCTAGAGAAAACTTTATGAAAGATGGATTAATGCCATATAATATTTACTATGTGAAAATTTATGTATTGACTAATAGTCATCAATCCAATCTTTTTAAAGATAAAGAATATATTGAATTAGATTCTATGTTTTTTGAAATAGGACAAATTCAAAAACCAAAAATGATCACTGAAATAGAATTACCCAAAGAATGGGAAAGACACATTAGTGAAAAACCACTCCTAATAGGAGAAAAAGAAACACCTAGACTAATGGCATATGAGTCAAGAAAAGTATTAGTCAAAATAGAACTTGAATTAAGCCATAGAAATAGTGTAAACTTTGGAGTTATACACTATCCTAAGAAAGATAAAGAGGTCTTAACCAGAACAACTAGTATAAAACACGAGGTGGTATTAGACACCTTAAAAATCCCTTCTAGACATTTCAAAATAAAAGGAGATTATTATGATGAGAAAGAATGGCATAACATTTCTATCCTAATAGATATAGGAGCAGAAGTAACACATATCCATAGTGATATGATCCCACACCTACCAAGATTTGAACTCATTAAGCCATACACATATTACAACTTTAATGGTGTAGTGACCATAGTACATGAATATGCTAAAGTACCTCTTAAAATAGAGGATAAGAATAAGATACAACATGAAATCACTATAATAGCTCATGCTGAAACAGAAATGACTGCAAGTATAGAGTTAATGCTAAGAAATACATTTTTAACATCAATACAGCCCTATAATATCTAAGAACATTGTTTAAAGATTACCTTAAGTAGAAAAGAAATGGTTATACTTTGATACTATGAAGACTAGTATCTATAGTGCATACATATCCATTGGAATCAAATATGAAGAATATAAAACAGAATTCTTTCATACTTTTATAGTTACAGGGTCTGGGATATGTTTAGCCAAAATCAATGTATTCCCAA